ATTCCCCCAAAGAGAAGTTTCTTTCCATTTTGATTTTCTCAGCCACAAACTAATCAGTCTTAATTGCTCCCAGCTGTGATTTCTTCTCTGAGGGGTTGCTTCCTGCTGGTACCCAAGTAGTACAGAATCATGCAGTTTTGTTAAACTCCAATAAATACATGGGAGCTTTGTAGAATCTAATTTACTATACAAGAGTTCAAGCACTTTAACTATCAAGTAAACTTTGACTCAACTTTGAAAGCTGATCACATAATGAAGAGCACTCTTTTTAAATGAGGTGACAAGGTATTGGGCAATTGGAAGTTATATTTTTACCATTAGGGATTACAATAGGATATTATTTGTATTTGTATTTGTAATGGGTGTGTATAGTGTATATCTATACATACATATGTTTGTATATATGTCTGTGCATATATACATGCATATTAAAATATTTATGTTATATGCAAAACATTTTTCTTGTATATTTGGAATTTTTAATTATTATTATAGCAAAAAGAGGTTTAAAATCAAAACTACATGCTGTCTGGAAACAAAACACTATGGTAACACCAAGGAAGTAAATTAAAATAGGAAATATTGCCACATTGAAGTCTTCATAAAATTAAATAATTGGGTGTCCCTTTTATTTTTTACTATTTAATCTGAAAAACTGAGGAAAAAAAGATTATAAAATCTTTTTCAAAAATTGTAATCCTGGTTCTAAGAACATTTAAAAATGATATCACCTGAAAAGAATATCAAGATTTGATGGTTTTTAGTTTACTTTATGGTACAAACTCAACCATCATTTTTAATGAATCAATCCCTATTAATTATTTTCATACAAAGATAGAAAAAACAAAGCAACAAAAAAAAGATTAAAAGAAATTAACTACATCTGAAAGTGATTTAAGAAGTGACTGTGAGCTTTTTTATTAAAACTAGTGAATCTGAAGTTTCAATTAATGAACCACAATTCATGGCTATTAGCCTGACTAATAAACTTTGTTACTAGGCAAAATACTGAGGGTAATGAAGACATAGTATCAAAGCTTGAGAACAGGTTGCCATTGGCAGAAATTGAGCAAGTTCAAAATGACTGAATGAGAAAGTTTGCAAAACAACATTTGGGAAACCACAAAATAATTGTTCTTTTGCATCTATGGTCCTAATGAACTCACTTCGTATTACAATATAGCAAGGTTTATTTGTGCTCAAAATAGTACATACGTAGCATCAACATGCTGTAATACACACACTATGCTCTATAAGGCACTACAGAATTTTATCATAAATAATGAGAGAAAGAATTATTAAAACATTTACATGTTTTCAGAATTCAGAATTATACAGAGAATTTCTTAGTGTTATTTTTATTTCTGAAAGTAATTTTATAAGTAACAGTTTATCATTCATGGCTAAACATATGCCATATTTATACTAAGCTCCATGCTCTGAAAACCCACTGTTTAGACAGAAATCAAATCTAGAAAATCTAAACTAAGAGAAGGATTAATTCATGCCATACTAATGCTTCCAAAAAGAACAATTTAAAAAGGCAGATAAAATACAAAAATCCTTTATTAAAAGCATCATATTACTGCAGAAGCAATAAAAACCAGCAACTAATAAATTGGATATGAGAGAACCAAGGAGAAGTGAGCTGATGATTGGCAGCCATTCTTTTTGGGGGCAATTCTTTTTTTTTCCTGGAACACCAGGAAGAGAGGAAGAGTCTGGCTTAGCGTAGGCAGGGAGCCACTATGGGAGAACAGAACCAGTGGAGTGTTCAATAGTTGGACAGCCCTGGAAAAAACAAGATTGTAGAGTTAAGTAGCCTCAAACATATAGCCTGTTTCCTCCAAAGACATGTAGAATAATTCTAAGACTGTACGGTAAAGAAACAAAATAGCTAAGCCAAAATCTGAAAAGTAAAGCAGACTGTTCCATAGTATGTGATGCTGAAGGGAAAAGACCCTCCAAGTGAAGTGGTTCCAGTGAACACAATTATTTTCAGTTGACAGTCTTGGAAGGAGTGGTGCCTTGTTGATCCACAGCTGTATTTTCATTTTTTTTTTTTTTCTTCTAATGGGGAAAGTAGAGGAATGAGAATTCATTCTTGTCCCTGGCAAAAGAGGGAGGTTCAGAGAAATCAGCAGAGACTTTAGTGGTCACACAGGGTAAATATGACAAAGAAGACTTAAGGGTTTCTCCTTTAAGACATTAGCTGAATTCTTAAGATGCATGAAGAAGAAAGCTAATGAGTAATGTCAAGGAATTTTTTTCATTTACTCATTTCAAAGGACAGAAACATCCTCCAAGGATGGTGATCCCAATGAACAATTTCTCAAATTGTTCATTGGGAAAATTGGAAGTCTAGAGTTAAAAGCAAAGAACAAACCAGGGGTAGATGGAATTTATCGCAAATCAACTCACCTTAGAAAATGGAAGATTTAGGTGCCAAGCCCCCTTTTATAGAGGCAATAGTAATGCTTCTAACTTCATCTGGTACCTCTGTGGCTTTTTATTCACAGTGTGTGGCATCCAGTCAAAACCATTTTGCACCAATTAGCTAAAACCTACCTGTTGATGGAGATGTAAGTTGGCACAACCATTTTGGAAAACTGTTCAGAACAGTGTATATAAGCTGTATACATGCATATCTTATGATCCTGCAATTTCATTCCCAATTATACAAAAAACAAAATTCTGTACAAATGCTTATCAAAACACAAAGACTATGTTTACAGCAGCACTAGTCCTAGCAGACCGAAGATGGAGAAAAAAATCCATCATCACTAGAATAGATAAATAAATTATGCTATATTCATGCTGTAGATTACTATAGGCCAATAAGAAATTCATAAACTACAACTACATGCAACAGTAATAAATCCCACACATAAAATGTTGAATAAAAAAGGCTGGAAACAAACAAAGTCTATGATTCCATGTATATAAAGTTCAAAATCTGGCGAGACTAAACTATGTCAGTCTTGAAGGTATATGGACTGGAGGGGGGCGATGGGGAGGCTTCCAGGATGCTGGTAATGTTCTCCTTCTTGATCTGGGCTCTGGTGTCACAGATGTGTTCACTTTGTGGAAATTTTTTGAGTTCTACATTTACAATTAGTTCTCTTCAGTAAGTATATATATTTTACTAAAATGTTAACCAAAAAAGTGAAAAAAAAAAGAAAGAATTCTTAGTCTGTGCTTAATATACCTACCTCTATATATTTAAATCTGCATATATCTGAAACTATCCCTGGAGGTTGTTTAAATTGATGGCCTCTGGAAAAGCTCTCATGCTAATCACTACCTGTGGCCCAAAAGAAGAAAATAAAAGCAAGGGAGAAAAAGAGTGGCTCAAAATACCAGGCAAAGGTGGCATCCTTAGCACATTTTCTTCTGCTGCTGTCCCTCCCACCTGACTGAGCTGAGGTTTGAATATGGAGGTATTGGACAGGAAAGTATTTTTAAGGAAGTTGTCTATTCAGCCTTTGTTTTACATCAGGCAAATCTTGGACTGAAATTTAAGATGAATATTTCATATAAAATTAAGATACATATTTCACATTTAAGCATCATCCAAAGAGATTTTCAGATATAGTCTATGTACCCCAACATTACCATTTTTACAACTATAGTCGCTCTCCCATTAGGAGTCCTGACACAAGGGATGTATCTCACATATGATCACAGTTTCTACCAGTTGTTCTGAAGCTATTTTGTATTAGAGTTCTCATTCCTTGCTATCCATAAACTGATATAGTTCTTTGTTCCATATTTATGCTCCTGCTGATTTCCACATTTCTGGTGATTTTTTTTTTTCTATCTTTGGAAATAAGGAAATGATTCCCAAAATCTCTAGGGGGTGGAGGCAGTGATTAGTTAAAGAGAACAGTGCCCTCAGTTACATAGTCTTTTCTTTTTATCGCAGCCATTTTCTTCTCAAAGCCCGCAGTATTGCTGACCTTCTGGGTTTAGGGGTATTAAAGCACAGCTTCATTATATACTTTCAGAATGGAGAACTTTTACCACACCTGACATTCATCCTTACCTACTCATTCTGGCCTCACCTGCCAGACTCCTTTTTCATTCATGGTAAGTCTCTATCAGGAACCTTCATGTCCATCCTTACCTGCAGGTATAGCAGTCTTTCAATCTGTTTCTATATATATGAATCCCAGCTACATATAGTGTTCAAATTCTTTCTCAGGGGGCTGTGGATCCCCTATAAATCAAGGAATATTCCTGAATATGTTATGAATTAGGACATTCTTTGCCAAATGCCAAAAGATTACCATCTCTACCCATAAGTATACAATTATGTACTTTCCAAGATATCAAAATGTCAAAAATCAAAGGACAGGCAAAGGGATAAATCAATGCAGATTGTTGGAAGAACAGCATCTTAAATTTCAATCCAAGACTAGCTTGACCTAAAACAAAGGCTGAATAGACAGCTTTTCCAAAGATACTTTCCTAATCAATACCTCCATATTCAAACTTTAGCTCAGTCAGGTGTGAGTGACAGAAGAGGATCACTTGCTAGGGATGCCCCCCTTGCCTGGCATTTTTACACCATTCCTTTCCTCACTTGCTTTTATTTTCTCCTATTTGGCTAGCTATAGTGATCAGCATGAGAACTCTTCCAAAGGGCATCAATTTTAATTGCAACCAATAATTAGAAAAAGAACTAAGAAATACTGAAAATCACTCACATTTGCCTACTTCGATCTCCCTTTTCTACATCTGTAAGACTACACTGTTTTTGTTCATCTAAGATACTGAATTGCCTCTAGTGAATTGCATTCATTATTTACCTTCAGCTTCAGTTTTGGGAAAACGCAGTTTGTTCATGATAGGTCGAGTTCTGGAGTAACAGAAAAGCTCCACATCTCAGGGGCTTAAAAAAGTTTTATTCCTCATAAACAAGTTGGCAGTGAGTGAGTCTGCCCGATGCTTCAGGGGATCGCTCTCCTATGCAATGGCTCAGCATCACACCTCCATATCATATTTGCTTCCACAACCACTGGCAAGGGTGAAAAAGCTGAAAAGTCTCAAAATGAAAGGATTCATCCTGGAAAAGACATGCATCTTTTCTGCTCATATTTCATTAGGAACGTAGGTCAAAGGCCACACATAGCCTTAAGAGGGCAGAGGAGTGCCATCTCTCCCTGTAATCCTGTCCTAATAGAAGGCAAATATTAACTATTGGTTACATAATTTTTTCTTAAAGTTGAATGCTTTATACCAGTCATATAATCTAGACCAAGTCTTAATTTTGAAATAATATAAAGGAGAAAGAAATAATTAAACATGAAAAATGAACACGGGATAAGGACGAGAAAACAGCATTCTTATTTGTGAATCAGTTTGACATAGCTTCATAAAACACTGACTTGAAAAGAATTCTGAGGCCAACCTTAGCTCAGTAGGAAAGAGTGATTTAACAGGTCAATGATATCAGCTGTAAGCACAAGAATGATGAGTATTGCTTCATATATTGATTTATTGATCCCAATTCCAGTCCTCTTTTTGCATCCATACCTTTGTGTGGCCTAAAGGAAGATAGAGTGGACTTTTCCATCGCTTGACTTGGGGTTGGCTTGTAACCCATTTTGACCAATGGCATGTAGGTGGAAGTATGCAATTTCTGAGTCAAGAACTTAATATCCTCCTGTGTTTCCACGTGCTCTCTAAAATTTCTGTCATTCTCATGAGAAGAACATACCTCAGGTGGTACTCTAGTCCCAGGAGAAGTATCACAGATACAAGGAAAGACCATCTTGGTCTCCACAGCCTGAAACAGAGCTGCCCCAGGCATCCCATTGGTCTGTACAGAGTGAAAAGCAAAGCCACAAAGCTGAACTCAGTCTACATCAGCTGAACTTCCACCAACCTTTAAAGAGTCATGAACAGTTACAAATGATTGTTGTTTTAAGCCATGGAATTTCTGGGCAATTTGTTATACAATAAGAATTAATCAGTATATGCTACATGTGCCAGATACTGGCCACTCATAAAGTATAGTGGATGAAAAAACAAAACAAACATAATCTAGAAAACAAAAAGGATGGGAGACTGTCACACAAAGGGAAAGATTCTTGAGAATCAGAAAAAATATAAGAATAAACATATTTAATGTGACTATCTTTTAAACAATCAAGATACATGAACTATATTCTGATGTCTGACTATATTTACATGAAAAAAATTCAAAGTTACAAAACTTAACATTTTTATGTAGGAATTGATTTATTTTAAAATAAAAAAATAAACAGTGCCCAACAATATACATTAGTGGCCATTAATAATCTCTAAAATTATAAACTTGAACATGGTGTCTATTATAAAATCCTGTTGTATTAGAATTAAAGGGATGTCTGAGTTTGAAGGAGGTGATTTTTGAGAAAACAAAAGTAAGCATTATTTCAAACAGTAAAACCATATACTTTAGTGACAAAAAAGCATGTAAAAATGTAAATAAGTTTTTCATGGTAAATTTCAGAATGGCAATTTTTCAGATGAGATAAAATATTTAAGAAGGCTAATTTGAAACACCTACTGAAGTATCAAGAGGGTAGCCAGACCCCAGCTAATATATGGGAGCAAATACTGATTTGGCAGGATTATGCATCCAACCCAAACTTTTCATATTTTCATAAATATGCAAGTGTGAAAGCAAATAAAAAGAATAGTGAGAGGGCGCCTGGGTGGCTCAGTTGGTTAAGCATCTGACTTTGGCTCAGGTC